TGGCTCACTGCAACCTCCACCTTCCAGGTTCAATGTATCCTCCTGCCTCAGCCTCCCGAGTAGTTGGGATTACAGGTGCCTGCCACCACGCCTGGCTAATTTTTGTATTTTTAGTAGAGATGGGGTTTCACCATGTTGTCCAGGCTGGTCTCGAACTCCTGACCTCAAGTTATCCACTCACCTCAGCCTCCCAAAGTGCTGGGATTACCATTTGTAAGTGCCCACGCCTGGCCTCTCAGTTTTTGTTTTGTTTTGTTTTTTGGTATATATATATTTTTGAGACAAAGTCTTCACTCTGTTGCCCAGGCTAGAGTGCAGTGGCATGATCTTGGCTCACTGCAACCTCCACCTCCCAGGTTCAAGCGATTCTCCTTCCTCAGCCTCCCGAGTAGCTGGGACTATAGGCACGTGCCACCATGCCTGGCTAATTTTTTGTATTTTTAGTAGGGATAAGGTTTCACCATGTTAGCCAGGATGGTCTTCATCTCCTGACCTCATAAGCCTGCCTCGGCCTCCCAAAGTGCTAGAATTACAGGCGTGAGCCACCGTGCCCCTGGCCAGTATTTTTTTTTACGATGCCCCTTGGTGAAAAGAAATATCTAGGTCCAAACAACTTACTAAGTATTTATGCCCTAATAATTTAGTAGCCATTAAAAAAAATACATGCAAATTAAAAGGAAAACAATGTTTTTCATTCTTAAACCACCACACTTACTTATTAACGGGATGTGTGCACCTGTTGGGCACATACTTCTCAAACCTTGGAATTAGACTGGGCAAGGCCACCCTCATTTCCTGTTCCACATTGATTTTTGCAGTGTATTCACTTTTCCTTTTTTTTTTTTTCTTTTTTTTGAGACAGAGTCTGGCTCTGTCGCCCAGGCAGGTGTGCAGTGGTGCGATCTCAGCTCACTGCAAGCTCTGCCTCCCGGATTCATGCCATTCTCCTGTCTCAGCTGCCTGAGCACAGGCGCCCGCCACCATGCCCAGCTAATTTTTTGTATTTTTTAGTAGAGACGAGGTTTCACCTCTGTTAGCCAGGATGGTCTCGATCTCCTGACCTTGTGATTCGCCCGCCTCCACCTCCCAGAGTGCTGGGATTACAGGCGTGAGCCACCGCGCCCGGCCCAGTGTACTCACTTTTCATCACAACCAACTGGAAAGCCCAGATGCCCCAAGATATGACATAGACAGGGAATTTGGCGCCATCTGTTGTTGAAACTGTAAACAACCTAGTAGCTAGTAGTTTTGCACAGTGGTTTAGATTTCATTTTGTTTGCCTTGAAAATTTAGAATGCAAGCTATTCCACAGATATCCCCCTGTGGATTTACTGTGGGAATGTGAGGTACCTCAGTGCACAGTTTGATTCAAACAACAGGATTTTATAATAGTGCTGTATAAATACTGCATTTTCTGATTTTGATAAATTGCTGTTGCCATGTAGAAGAAAGTCCTGAGGAAACACACATTTAATTATTTATGGATAAAGAAACATGCTGGCTGGGCGCACTGGCTCATGCCTATAATCTCAGCACTTTGGAAGGCTGAGGCAGGAGGACCGCTTGAACCCAGGAGTTCAAAACCAGCCTGGGTGACATAGTGAGACTCCTTCTCTAAAAAAAAGAAATATATATACACACACATATATATTTACATATATATACACATATATGTATATATTATCCACTATATGTATGTGTATATATTATATACGTGTTTATATATATTTCTGAACAATTCTCCTGCCTCAGCCTCCCAAGTCACTGGGATTACAGGTGTGTGCTACCACATCTGCTAATTTTTGTATTTTCAGTAGAGATGGGGTTTCACCATGTTGGCAAGGCTGGTCTCGAACTCCTGACCTCAAGTGATCTACCCGTCTTGGCATCCCAAAGTGCTGGGATTGTAGGTGTGAGCCACCGAGCTGGGTCTGTGTTTGTTCATATCTATCTATCTATCTACCTATCTATCTATCTATTAAAATGTCTGCAAATAAACCTCAAACTACTCAGAAAAATGTGAGTATGCATGTACATATAGACAGCACAAGTGATAGAAAAAATGGGACAAAATGTTAACAATTTATGAATTTGGATAAAGGGTAGACAAGATTTTTTGGTACCATTCTTGAAACTTTTCTGTGTAAAAATATTTCAAAATAGTTTTGAAAGATGAAAGGCAATACTACCTTTTAAGGTATATATTCATACATAGTAAAACAATTTTAAATGCCTGGAAATTAAAGCAGCATTCAGATTGTTGCAACTGTTTGTTGAGAGGGAAGAGGGATGTATTGGGAAAGGCTATGCACAGTATCAGTGATGTTTTCTTTTTTCATTTATTTTTAGACAGGGTCCAACTTTGTTGCCCAGGCTAGAGGGCAATGGCACGATCATAGCTCACTGCAGCCTCAACCTCCCAGGATCAGGTGATTCTCCCACCTCAGCCTCCTGAGTGGCTGGGACAACAGGCTTGGGTCACCACACAGCTAACTTTTTTTTTTTTGTAGAGACAGGTTCTGCCATGTTGCCCAGGCTGATCTCGAACTCCTGGGCTCAAATGATCCACAGGGCCTTGGCCTCCCAAGGTGCTGGGATTATGGGCATGGGCTACCATGCCCAGTGGTGATATTGTATTTCTTAAACTGGGTGGGGAATACATGGCTATTCATTCCATTATACTTTATACCTTTAAGTATGTCCAAAGTATTTCATAATTTCCTTTCTAAAAATACATATTGCCGGGTGCGGTGGCTCAAGCCTGTAATCCCAGCACTTTGGGAGGCCGAGACGGGCGGATCACGAGGTCAGGAGATCGAGACCATCCTGGCTAACACGGTG